TATGCGGGTACTTATTAGAAACCGCTCAATTTCAGAGATAGAGCTAACATATTTGGTTGGATTGATGTGAGTTTGTCAAACAAACTCAGATCAATCAACCATATATATATATATATATATATATATATTAATCTGTTTACAATATATTAATTATAATTCATAAACTATCCCCTACATTAATATCTCCTCAACTCTATTTTCCATTAAACATTTACATCCTTTTATCTATATATTTTAAATTTATTTTTAAACAACCTTTTTAGTCCTCTTTTAATTTTAAATGAGTATTTTATTCTTCATATAACTGCACATTAATGTCATAAGGTTAATATCCGGGTTTAATTTATATAACTTCTTCCTTTTAAGACAAATACCTTCCACCCTTCCCTGACCACTGTCTCGTGCCTTTCGTCTGACTGAAACTTTTAGCTTCCACAGTTAAATTTTACTTCCTGACCCTACACCTTAACACCATCTCACTCAACACAGGGGTTGATGAAAGACGACTGATATCTTCGTCTGCCGAAATAGGCTATTCCCCATATGAGCAAATTTGGGATTTCATTGTTTATAATATATATATATATATATTGTTATATATATATATATATATATATATATATATATATATATATATATATATATATATATATATATATATGTTTCATTAAAAACGACAGACAAGGTACAATGGTTAAGCTTTTTATTTAATTTTTCTTGTGTTCGAACAAGAGCTTTCTTTTCTGGACAAATGGTGTGTAAGAACTGTCCAAATGTTTTATATTTCCGAGCGCTTTCGGCTATACCTTTAGCCATTATCAAGGATGATTCAATTTTTCAGCTTAATTGAGTGTGTGCGTTCTGTGCATGTATTAGTGTGTGGTAGGGGTGTTTTTCATTTCCGAATATGGTTAGCACATTGTGGCTTTGTTCGTAGTTAATATTGTTAAGAGTTGGCTTTTTCTTTTTTATTATTAAAGCTTCCATTATTTTTAGTCTTTTTTTGCAGGTGGATACAGTTAATATATTTGTGTTTTCTACTAGTATGTTTCTAATGGAGTCTGGTAAAATTCTGTGTGTGTTTAAATGGGTTCTAATGGAGCTGTGATCAGATAGGTGTAACGTAAGACGTCTGGATAAGCATGTAGTTGTGTAGCCGATGTAATTATTTATGAGTCCGGTTTGATCAGGAACACAGTTTCTTAAGGGGCATTTGAACTCATAGATAATGTTCGTTCTTTGTAATTTTGATTTAACTGGTGTGTTGTTATTTTTGAGAATAAGGTTGGCTGTCTTAAATTTTCATAATAGATAATTAATTTGATTTAAAAAATCAAATTAATTATCTATTATGAAAAATAATAGTAAAAATCGTGTCAATTAGAGTTTGGTGGTCTATAAGGTGGTTAGGGAAGCCGTTTTTGATTAGTGTTTGTTTAACATTATTAAGTTCTTTGAGGAAGACTAGTCGTTATATATATATATATATATATATATATATATATATGTGTGTGTGTGTGTGTGTGTGTGTGTGTGTGTGTGTGTGTGTGTGTGTGTGCGTGCGTGTATTTAATCCGACCGTATCCAGTTTTGTCCATCATGGGAAACAGTCCTATCGTCGAAGTTTGGCGTTACCAATTTGGCTACGAGATATCGTCTTCAAGAGGAAATTCTTAATTGCTTATTTAATTTCATTTGTAGGACTTCACGATCTAGGCTGGACAATATTAATATCAAGGAATTAGCAGCAAGACGAATTTGTTCGTAGAAACATTATTAAGGATTATACAACTCCGGTAGACTAGTGTAAGAAAAATAAGTTGATTTTTTATTAAAATCTAAAGCGTCGAACCTCAGCAACAATATGAACTCAATAGTAAGTTCCAAACTACATAGGATCAAAATTATTTATCAATTTATATGCCTATTACGGAACTGTCTTTCTGACGAAAACAAATTCATGAATGAAAATTACATTGGGCCTACAACCACATGCCTATCAAGAAGACTTACTTTGCATCTTTCGGATTTAAATACACACGGAGAGCTACCTACCTCTATCCGCAATATACTTGTAGAAAGCACTAACATGCACTTATCTAAATGCAGAGAATAGTTAAAAATGAGGGTAGCGCTTACAATCAAATTAAAAGCAACCAACTCTTAGTTATGAAAACTGCAACAACGTGCTGTATTCGAAAATTAAAATATTTCTAGTGTTAAAAATCTACATATTCAAAGAAACAAAAAAAGAAACATAATTGATAATAGCCAATTATCTAGCCGAAAGTGCTCGAATCTACTGATCACTTGGACAGCTCTTACATTCAAAAGAGAAACCACTTATTTAATAAAACGCCTTGTCAGTTGTCTTCAGTGAAACCTGTATAAAAGAGGGATTGCTACCAAATACACAATTTATATATATTTTTTTTCTGTTTTCTTTTTGAATTTGTAGGTCTGATGAATTGGATCGTATTTACGATTCCAATGGAATAAATGATGACCATGGAATATTAGTGTTTAAGCCTTTTTATTATATCCTTACTCTGTCCTGAACATTGAGTTCTACCTGGATTCTATCCTCTTCGTATTTTTTTATTAAAAAAATATATCTGTATGTGTATGCATGTATGTATATATATATTTATATATTTTGCATATGTATGTGTATATTTACTATTAATATTATCTATCTATCTATCTATCTATTGAACAATAAAAAATATTAAAAAATTAAAATCTTCAGACACACTGGGTTGTAGATTAATATTCTTTCGCTTTTATTATTATTATTATTATTATTTTTCCTTTATATATATATATATATATATATATATATATATATATATATATATACGTTTTCACAACATCGCCCACGTGACGACGACGTGATCATATTTAAACGGAACGCTGATCTTATATAAAAATTTCAGTTATCTGTTTGGATTAGTTGTACTCTTATGTCCATCGTCTTTTCGTGTTGAATTTTTATATGTTCTAATGTTAATTATGTTTAATGAATATGTCCTCAAGATGGTCTTAAATAGACCGAAACGTCCGACGTCGACTTTATATTAACATAAATACAGCATAATTGCATATTAATATTTTTGTTTGTTTTTTCTGTATATTTTCTTCATATATATATATATATATATATATATATATATATATATATATATATATATATATATATATATGTGTGTGTGTTTGTCCATGAGGCACAGCGTGTCTCAGAATTAACTATTTCACAGATTTAAAAAAAAATGGACACACTTTTATGTTTATTACTTAATGATACAAAACAAATAGATTTATAGACCTTACGTCAAATCTTTAGTAAAAAATTTCAACATGTGCTCCGTCTGTATCTTTGTAAATTTCAACTCCATCTTTAACGTTGCGAAACACATGTTGAAACCTTTCAGAAGTTATCCCCACCATTGCTTCTGTTTCTTTAAACTTAGCTATCAATGATTGATCTTTTGCCTATAAACATTTGTTTTTATGAAAATCCATGCAAAGAAATCCAGTGGGTGTCAGCAAAGATGCGTTCTTGTGTATTCATTATTAATAGCGTTCTGAAAGGGAATGAAAACAAGGTAAAGTGTGTCTGATCATCGCTAAAGCGAGAAACTCCGGGTTACGAACTAATATCCATGCAATATATATATATATATATATATATATATATATATATATATATATATATATATATATATCAACATTAGGGGCGATAGTCTGTTTCATGCTAGACGATTGCGTCTAGCATGAAACAGACTGTCGCCACTAAGTGTTGACTTCTATGTTCCCTTTTATGTTTACACACGCTCTATCTCTGATATTGACCACTTTATCCCATAAATATACCACATCTTAAGACTATATTTCTTCTTCTTCTTATATATATATATATATATATATATATATATATATATATATATATATGTGTGTGTGTGTGTGTGTGTGAAAAGTGTATATAAATATAAATAAATATATATATGTATAATCATTTATATATTATATGCGCGGTACTTATTAGAAAGCGCTCAATATCAGAGATAGAGCTAACATATTTGGTTGGATAGATGGGAGTTTGTGACCCTGGGTTTCACGCTTTAGCGATCGTCAGACAAAGCGTGAAACCCAGGGTCACAAACTCACATCTATCCAAACAAATATATATATATATATATATATATATATATATATTATATATTTTCTATCTCTTTGTCACGTGCGTCGTAGATTTACAAAACGTTCCTACCTCAGTATATGCCCCAGAAACCTCGTATCTCTTCCTGATGTTAAATATTAATTTCCTTTTTGTTTCCATTTCCTTCAAAATTTCGTTGTTGCTCAGATGTCCATGGTATTCAAAGCATCCTTCTGTAGAAGGACATTTCTGTTGCTTCAAGTTTCTTTATCCTCTTAAGAGCTTCAATCCAGATGCGTATAGAATAGCGTACTATTCACTTGAAGATATTCATAAAGCCTTAAGCTATTTGAACACGGAGTTTTCCTTCTCCTTGACTGGTTGTCCCTCAGGCCAAGAGAGCCAGTTCTGATCTACTGTTTATTTGTTCTTTAATTAGGTGAAAGATCAAATTTGTCTTGCGGAGCTCAGAGCGTCCCGTGAACCTGGAGTGATTGAAGAATCGGAACAATCAGTCTGATGACCTAAAAGTACCATCCCATATCGTTTGGGAATTTTTTTAATTAAAAGAAATATTTGTGTGTGGATTGCTTTTTTTTTTTTTTTGCAGAATATTTAATAGTCGAATGAGTACAAATGTGACGTCATGCATTTGATCCACACCCATAAATATTAAATTGACTTTGTGGCAAAATGATAAACACGAAACAGTTTACATTTTCCTTCCTTTCTTTTCTTTTTGTCGTGACATTATTTTTATAAAGTTTTTGATTGTCCTTCACACGATTTTTTTTTCTTTCTTAGTTTTTAATCTGAAATATTGCACTTATTATTTTATAACATGGCCTCCACGTTTTCTTTTGTTTGTTTGTTTGTATCTTCTTATTTGTAACGTTGCTTTCATTATTTTATCAATTGTCTTCCAAAATTTCTTTCTTTCTTTCTTCGTAACGTTCTTCTCATTATTTTATCAATAGTTCTAAACAATTCCTTTCTTTCTCTCTCTTCCTTTCTTTCTTTCTTTCTCTCTTATTTGTAACGTTGCTTTCATTATTTTATCAATTGTCTTTCAAAGTTTCTTTCTTTCTTTTTTCTTTCTTTCTTTCTTTCTTTCTTTCTTCCTTTCTTTCTTCTTCGTAACGTTCTTCTCATTATTTTCTCAATAGTCCTACACAATTCCTTTCTTTCTCTCTCTTCCTTTCTTTCTTTTTTCTTTCTTTCTTTCTTTCTTTTTATTTGTAACGTTCCTTTCAATATTTTATCAATTGTCTTCCAAAGTTTCTTTTTTCTTTCTTTCTTTCTTTCTTTTCTTTCTTTTTTATTTGTAACGTTCCTTTCAATATTTTATCAATTGTCTTCCAAAGTTTCTTTCTTTCTTTCTTTCTTTCTTTCTTTCTTTCTTTTTTTATTTGTAACGTTCCTTTCAATATTTTATCAATTGTCTTCCAAAGTTTCTTTCTTTCTTTCTTTCTTTCTTTCTTTCTTTTTTATTTGTAACGTTCCTTTCAATATTTTATCAATTGTCTTCCAAAGTTTCTTTCTTTCTTTCTTTCTTTCTTTCTTATTTGTAACGTTCCTTTCATTATTTTATCAATTGTCTTCCAAAGTTTCTTTCTTTCTTTCGTTCTTTCTTTCTTTCTTTCTTTCTTTCTTTCTTTCTTTCTTTCTTTCTTTCTTCAATACGTTCTTCCCATTATTTTATCAATTCCTTTCAATTCTTTTCTTTCTTTCTTTCTTTCTTTCTTTCTTTCTTTCTTTCTTTTTTGGTGGGCTGCAAACGTATTGAACAATTACGAGGCAATCTTGTATCTTGTTGAGTTTAATTATAGTTTTTCATTAAGCTTGTCTGAGTTTTGACTCGAGTCTAGATCTTTGGCGAACCCTGCCAGGATCGAACTCATTACTTAATAGACTGGCGTCGCTAACAACAAGCGGCATGTGACTAGGCTTTTATGTACGATTTATGTGGTATGCTGTCTAAACTAAGGTAAGCATAGTATAAAGAATGAAAAAAAAAAGCTGGGAAAGACTAAGAAAGAAAGAATTAAAGAAAGAAAGAAAGAAAGAAAGAAAGAAAGAAAGTGTTAAAGACAAAGAAAGAAAGTGTTAAGGAAAAAGAAAGAAAGTGTTAACGATAAAGAAAAGTAAGTGTTAAGATCAAAGAAAGAAAGAAAGAAAGAAAGAAAGAAAGAAAGAAAGAAAGAAAGAAAGAAAAAAAGAAAGAAAAAAGTACTAAGGACGAAGAAGGAAAGAAAGTGTTAAGGAAAAAGAAAGAAAAAGTACTAAGGACGAAAAAAGGAAAGAAAGTGTTAAAAAAAAGAAAGAAAGAAAGAAAGAAAAAGAAAAGAAAGAAAGAAAGAAAGAAAGTAAGAAAGGAAAAAAGAAAGAAAGAAAGAAACGAAAGAAAGGAAGAAAGAAAGGAAAAGAAAGAAAAAGAAAACAATAAAGAAAAGTAAAGAACAAAGAAAGAAAGAAAGAAAGAAAGAAAGAAAGAAAGAAAGGAAGAAAGAAAGAAAAAGTGTTAAGGTCAAAGAAAGAAAGTAAGCGTTAAGGAAAAAGAAAGAAAGAAAAGAAAGAAAGTGTTAAGGACGAAGAAGAAAAGAAAGAAAGTGTTAAGGACAAAGAAGGAAAGAAAGTGTTAAGAACAAAGAAAGAACGAAAGAAAGGAAGAAAGTAAGTGTTAAGGACAAAGAAAGAAAGAAAGTGTTAACGATAAAGAAAAGTAAATGTTAAGAACAAAGAAAGAACGAAATAAAGAAAGAAAGTAAGTGTTAAGGAAAAAGAAAGAAAGAATGAAAGAGAAAAAGTGTTAAGGACGAAGAAGAAAAGAAAGAAAGTGTTGAGAACAAAGAAGGAAAGAAAGAAAGAAGAAATAAAGATAGAAACAAAGAAATAAACAAAGAAAGAAAGAAACAAACAAACAAAGAAACTGCTAAGGACAAAAAAGAAAGAAAGTAAAATTGTGAAGGACAATTTATAACATAATCAGAGGAATCGTACATAACTAATTGACTGATTCTCTTTTTAAGGCTTATGAAACCCGTGCAAGTTATTTAAAGCCAGAAAACATTTTTAGACTTTTAAGAATTTGGATGGGTGGATATTAATAGTCTAGTGATACAAGTTTTACTAATTAACTCCTAGATGGGGAAAAGAGAAGTGGATTCATATCTTTTACAGGAGTATTTTCGCGTAAGTGAATATAACGAACCCAACTGGAATTGGAACTCGGCTCATCAATTAACAATTCGGAGCCATAATCCATTACACCAGCCGCACACCCAAGCTTACAGCACCTGGCATTCCCAAGTGGTTATCCATCTAGCTATTGATCAGGCTCGCCATTGCTTAAATTCAGTGATTGTACGGGAACCGCTGTTTGAACGTGATCTGGCCGTAAGCCTCCCGATGTCACATCTGTTTATTTTTAGTTTCATAACCTTACTTATTAAAAACAATACGTGGCTTTTTAGTTTCTTTCTACTTTTTTTACAGACATTCCGCTGATCTTCAGTATGACTCGATTTCGTACAAAGAATATGCCTTTCTCTTTTGAAAACCGTACACGCCAAAATGTCCACATATCTTTCTTCAACAAGGTGGAGTTTGGCGAAAGGGCGAAGTGGGAGAAATTCAGAAGAGAAGGATTGTGTTACGTTAGGTTTTTTTTTCTTTGGGTTACCAGAGACAAGGATTACTTGAAAATTATTTGCTCCAGATTCTCGGTTCAAAATCGAATTGTTCCAAAATGCTATCTATCTATCTATCTATCTATCTATCTATCTATCTATCTTAATGTCTGTTCATATCTATCTATCTATCTATCTATCTATCTATCTATCTATCTATCTATCTATCCCGGTATGTTCATATCTATCTAACTTAATATCTGTTCATATCTATCTATTTATCTCTCTTAATGTTTGTTCATATCTATCTATCTATCTATCTATCTATCTATCTATCTATCTATCTATCTAGACAGTTTTTGTCTTACCGAGTTTACAATACATTTTCGTTGCATATTCTTCAGAGTAAGTGTTATTTTTGTTTGCTCCCCATCACCTTGTGTATTGATTGTTGCCTTTCTCTGTCGTCTTATTCGTCGGAATTACGTGTATTGTTTCGAATTCTGTTGGGGTGACGAGTGTACATGTCCGAATCTCTTCCTGCTTCCCCTACAGAAGTGACTCCTTCGGTATGGGCAAGGGATAGCCCCCACCCCGCAAAAAAAAAAGGGCCAGAATATTTCAAAAATCTAAAAGAGAAGTTTGATCCATATATTAATGGCAATGAGTTATTACCGGTGCCGTCTGTATTGGACACGGTGAATACAAAGACAATCTCGTTAGTAGCTAAAGTTGCATGATACAAAAGTATATACGGTATTTGTAGGCTAAAATTGTTGTTCTATGAAGGAATCGAAGGATGTTCTATTTTCTCAGGAATTCTTGGGTAAAAGACATGAACCTTTCTACATACAGAACCATAAAATATCCTCTTAAATATGACCACCAAAATGGTTTCCGACTACCATTGCATATTATAAAATTATACATGCAGATATTCCTACCCTGACAACAATCCAAACATTAACTCTATCATATGAACTATCACCGATTCTAACCACTGAACACTATATATATATATATATATATATATATATATATATATATATATAAAACATATCTACGTTGAACTAATCTTAATATTAAACTTATCACTACTTATTATACTACTACTCCTGACACTAAATTTAAACCTAACGTAAACGCTAACACTTATACACAACATATCTAACTGTAAACCTATACCTTACTATCACGAAACCTAACACAAATCTTAACACTAAAAATGATCTTAACGCCAAACCTGAGACCTATACTATATAACTACTAACTTTGCTCTGTGCTCCATACTTCCGGCCTTGTGCCACATGTAATTTTTGCTTAAAAATCAATATAACTACTAACTTTGCCCCCCACAAACTATCCTGAGGCTTACTTCTAAGCAACATCGCTACTTCTAATATTAACTCTAAAATTAAGCCTAACATTTAGATCAACCCTAACTTTAAATTAAGCATGACCCCAACATTAAGCCTAACTGTAAAAACTATCCCTTACCGTAACACTAACACAAAAAAATATGAATTAGAGAAAGAAAGAAAAAAGAAAAAGGTAAGTGAAATGGTGAGGGTGGGGGTGAATAAAAATAAAGAAGAAAAAAAGTACAAAGATCTAAAATTCAAAATAAAGGAAGGAAGGAAGGAAGGAAGGAAGGAAGGAAGGAAGGAAGGAAAGAAAGAAAGAAAGAAAGAAAGAGAAGAGGGGACAAATAAAAGAAAAACTAAGAAAGTACATAGAACAAAAAATAAATAAATAAAAAAGAAGGAAGAAAAAGAAAGAAAGAAAAATTAAAGACAGAAAGAAAAGAAAGCGAAAGAGAAGAGACGTAAATGTAATGAAAACTATGAAAGGCAGAAAAACTAAATAAAGAAAGAATGAATGAAAGAAAGAAAGGAAAAAATAAAGTAAGAAAGAAAAAAAGGAGAGCAGAAAACTGAGCAAGTTGAAAGAAAGAAAGAGGTAAAGAAAGAAAGAAGGCAAGAAAGAAAGAATGAAAGTAAGAGAGAGAGAAAAAAGGTGAACAGGAAAGTGAGCAAGATGAAAGAAAGAAAGAAAGAAAGAAAGAAAGAAAGAAAGAAAGAAAGGAAAAAAGAAAGAAAGAAAGACAACGATAAGCGAAGCGGGGAGGCGAATAAAAAAAAGAAGAAAAAACAAAGAAAGTACAAAGACCTAAAAAACAAAATCAAAATGGAAGAAATAATGAAAGAAAGGAAGAAAAAGAAAGAATGAAAAAGAAAGAAAAAGAGGCGAAAGAGTGGGGAAGATAAATAAAAGCAAAAAAAGAAAGAAAGAAAAGAGGAAAGGGAACGAATGGATAGCGAAAAAGAAAAATGAAAGAACAGCATAAAGGAAGTGGATAATAAACGAAAAAAAAGAAAAGGAGGGTAAAAAGAAAATCACGACAGAAAGAAGAAAGAAAGAAAGAAAGTTTGTGGGGATAAAGAAATGAAAAACCTTTGAAAGATTGGAAGCGAACGATTGATTGATTGATTGATTTGTCTTTCTTAGCTTTATCGATCCTTAATCGATTATTTGAAGCCGAAACATAACATAACATAACCATTGTAGTTTATCGTCTTACCCAGGACGCGGACGTAGTTTATCGTTGTAGGTTTTTGCAAGTACCCAGTTTTCCCAAGCAGTCCTCCATCGGCATACTGATCGGGATTCACGTTGCTTAACTTATGATCAATACTATCAAATGAATAAATTAAAGAAGACAGCAAATTTGAAGTAAAAAAAAAAACAAAAAAAAAACAGAAAAAAAAAGGGGAATAATTAAATGGATGCAAGAAAATAAGAATCATAAAAAGAAAACTGAAATTTCTTAGACACTGAGGAAAAATGCTTGGAAAATTTGACACTCACAGGACTTACCAAAGGTAGTGATCCACCTCCGTGACCGACTCGTGGGAATGAATCTCAAACCATAGAGTAGCAAGGATAGTAAAAAGCTAAAAAGAATGTTGAAATGTTATGTAATATCAATCCTCCCATATGGCAGTGGAAGGAGGACAGTCTCCTCACAGATGAAGAGAAAACCAGAATCAACGGAAATCTGGCTCTACAGAAGGATGCTGAGAATGCCATGATCGGAACGCGTAAGTAACGAAAACGTCTTAAGGAAAACAGAAAATGAAAACGACTCGACAGCTGA